TCTGATCTCCGCTTCATCTCTGTCATACCTTTCTGTAGCGCCACAGCTGGTTGCCTTTCATGCCGTGGCAGTCGTACAGGGTGACGGGGCTGTTGTGGGAAATGGCATCGAAGCAAACTTTTTTCGTGTGCATGGGGTCGCCCACCCGAATGTCCTCTCTCCAGCCAAACGTAAACACCTGCGGGAGATATAACATAATGATTTTTTCCCTTTTTTGAAGTGCGATGATCTTTAGACGACATGAAAAATTCTCAGCGCAGGGTGAAGGGACTTGCAGGGGACTTGAAATGAATCGTTTGTTTTGTAGGTCAGAACTTTTGAAAAGAGCGACGCGGGGTTAAAATATCAATGTGGGAGAAATCGTTTTTATAACCTTCTGTAAGAAACTTTCACTTTCCTATTAAGCTGCTTTTTCTGTAAAGTTTTGAATTGAATTTAATAAAAATCTTAAAGTTTATCATAGTTGTGGCCTTTGATTATTGATGGGAACTTCTGACCTGTTATGTACAGGAGGAGATTTGAACACCTTGGTTTCTGGAGTTTTCTGTATGAAACCTGTGTTTTTGTTTTTCTCCTCTCCTGGTTACTCTGACTTCCTCCCAAAATCCAACAACATGCACGTTAGGTTAATTTGTGATTCTCTGATTGGCTGTAGGTGTGAAGTGCTAAAAGCGATGTATGGGTGAAATTGGCTTGCAGTGCAAAGTGCTCCGAATGGTCAGTAAGAGAAGAAAAGTGCGATACAAATGCCAGTCTGTGTCCGTTCAGTGTGAATCAGACGTTCAGGGAGAGATCTAAAAATAGCAGCCGTACTGGAAGCAGTGCAGCACTGACAGGAGAGTTCACTACATTTTAGTCACCATTTTTCCCCATATCCAGTGAGGGTGACACATCTGACTGATGACCGAAAGGTAGCTGGTTCAATTCCAGCCGGAGACACAAATGTCAGGAAACGCATCTGGTGCAAGACTCTGCCAAATCCAACACGTGGAGTCACCTGCTGTGGTGCCCGTTTGTGAAAAGGGAGCAGCTTTTAAATAGGCAGATTTTTTCAACTCACACTGCATTTTGTATGTATATATATATATATATATATATTTACTAACTAAATGAAAGAGTTATGTACACAGCAGATACTTTTTTAACCGTTTACTGAAAATGTTTATCCTTTGTCTTCATGTCAACCAGCCCATAAACATGTCTGCATGCAGAAAAATGTCCTAATATAATACACTACACTGGGTGCATTTTAGTGTATGTGGTCTGAAAGAAGAGTCAGGTTCAGTCTATGATCACAATATAATCAAATCTCTACTCAAGAACCCTCCTCTCTGGACTGCTGGTGTCATAGAAGTTAAATTCAATTCAATTTTATTTATATAGCGCCAAATCACAACAAAAGTCGCCTCAAGGCGCTTCATAGATACAGAGAAAACCCAAATAATCATATGACCCCCTATGAGCAAGCACTTTGGCGACAGTGGGAAGGAAAAACTCCCTTTTAACAGGAAGAAACCTCCGGCAGAATCAGGCTCAGGGAGGGGCGGGGCCATCTGCTGCGACCGGTTGGGGTGAGAGAAGGAAGACAGGATAAAAGAAGGTGCTTAGCAAGGTATGTTTTTGA